CTGATGAAAAACTCGTTTTCCAGCGGAAGCCTCCTCTTCCCGCCGGACGAAGACGAGACGAAGCAGTCCTTTCCCTATCGCGTCCCTGGATGGAGAGAGCGATGGGCTTCTGAGGCATCGGCATTTGCATTACATTCATTGCATTACACTCCCATTGGAGTTTGGCTTGGACGGATGCACGCTGGCAGTTTCACGGATCTCCGGGATTCGAGGCGATCGAGGAAAGGAGCGGGTGAAGTCGCCTCCCGTCCCAGCGTCCGAAATCCATCATTCGGAGAACTCGATCTGAAGGATGGGGTATCCAGTTCACTTTTGGCTCCTCGAATCAATTCCCGGTGGCATCCAGCCAGTTGGCGGGGCTGAGAGATTTGGCGGGCGGGGCTGATATTCAATTAATAATTCAGTCGAATTTAAAGTGGCGCCGATTTTCCCGAGGATCCGACCCGGATAGCAATGTGCATCCGACGACTGAATTTTTTCTCACATCGACATGCACGCTTATAAGCATGTTGGATATCCAGCGGATACCCTCCGAGGAGCTGCATTCCCTGTCGGGGGATCCGAGTTCGAACTCGGCATGAAAAAAAATCTTTTTCTCAGGTTTGTCCATCGGATGTGAGATGAATCTAAGTAAAACGCGCCAGGGAGGATTTACTGAAAACGTCGGAAGTCGGACGAATACGGGCTATATTCCATCTTCCTCGATCGGATCCCACGTGCAAGCAAGAAAAATAAATCATCAATAAAGTTCGGAAGAACGGAGACCCAGCCGAAAGAGGTACCAAGCAATTCTAGCGCAAGAACAGTCAGCAAAAAAGTATTCGACGGAGCGATGGCATCTGCAATGAGTGGCGGTCCGTGGCGGCTCTTCCATGGCTGCCTCGAAATACATCGTGCCGAGGAAGACTTTAAAGCTTCGTCTTGATGGAAAAGGAAAAGCTCCAAGAGGAGCGAGCCCAATTTTTGACTAACGAGGAGAAGATGCTCATGTATTTCATGATGTCCCTTCAGAAAATATGTATTTTCTAGGAGGCCCGAGGATGTCCAAGACAGCAAGTGTTTTCTGGATGTGGCAGTCATTCGAGCGGAGTGTTTCCGGTAGGATATCCACCACCTGCCTCCACCTCATCGGGCTTTCATCGGCGCAACCGGATCGGGTGCCTGTTTTGCAAAATCACTCAATATTTTTCGACACGTCGGCAATGAGTCTGAAAAATGTATTTATGCCCGCAACACCAAATTTTCTGTCTTTATTCCCTTGGGATGGCCCGAGTCTTGCAATCATGTCGGATCATAGGTTGCGTAATTTATCTTGCGAGAGTCTGGGTAGACATCATGGTGATGTTTGCATCGACTCCTTCCGAAGATTCGTATAGATCGATCTATCAATAAATCAGGCGTGATTTTTCCCCCACGTGTGTCTGGCGACGCATTCTGGTGATGGTATTGTCAAGGGCCAGTGGGGGGCGATTTTTCTTTAAAAAATGCACAAGTTTGAATAAACTTTCCGAAGGAACCCTTGCAGGTATAAACACGATTCTGGCGTCCCTGCAATCTAGAAGCTCTTCTCTATCGATCTATCCGAGAACATTTCCCGGTTTTTGCCTTGAAGCAGAGAAAAACAGAAAAAACCACGTGGAGTAGCGTTTCCCCCCCCCCCAATTTCGAGCACATTTCGGTACTTTTCTCCAAAATGCTCTCCACAAGGCCCATGAGATTTGGTGTACAGATCGACCGATAGGTTCTCTAAAATCGCATTCCTGCTTTTGTCTGTGGTGCATCTGTGGCCCGAATGGCGGTCGGAATACTGTTCTAAAAAATGTGGCTATTCCCAGTTAAATGGCCGACTGACGTTTGACCTATTGAGTCAGCTTGAATCTCAATCTCTCATTTAGAAGTAGATTGTCTTAGCTTTCCAAATACGTTATTTGCAGGTTCCTCTGGCCAACGGTTTCCGAGTTTTATTCGTTTGAATCCGACTCATCAAATGGCCATCTAGCGGAAACTTCGGCAGTGACTTTTGACCAAACTCTGGGTCGGAGGTGACTGTGCGACCCCTCTTTGCACTTCCCTAGGGACCCCCTACAACAATTACTTTTCAATTTCGAATCCCAGACGGTCGATTTTTCCTCCCCTACCACCTTAAGAAAATGCTGCGCATCTCTGGCAAGCTACAATGCTGGCAAGCTCTGATGAATTTGGTCGATAAGTTCGAGGAGACGGGTCGTGTTTGCAAGAAGCCGCATGGAGCCAGGCCGTGAACCCCTGCAGATGTCGCCGAAACCAGAGGTGCGATTGACGAAGAGCCTAGCACAAGTGCACATTGAATGAGCAGCAGTCGTGCTCTCCCCCCCCTTCTGGATCTTCCCCATTCAACCGTGCCAAGGTTCTAAGGTAAAATAAACAAATGTTTCCGTTCAAGTTGAAACGTGTCCAAGAACGTGTTCAAACGTTTGTTCGTTCCATGTCCACTTGCGATAAGCTCTTCGTCAATCCCACCTCTGATTTCAGCGACATCTACAGAGGTTCACGGCCTGTCATCATGCGGCTTCTTGCAAACACGACCCGTCTCCTCCAACTTATCGACCAAATTCATCAGAGCTTGTCTCGAGGAGGGCCCCAAACGCATGCTGTGAGCTGCGCGGTATTTTCTTAAGGCAACAACATTATACTTGTTGGTGTAGAAAAGCTTTATTAGTTCGCCTCTCTACTTCTTAGTCAAAATCGACACATTTCTTAATATGACGGAAAAGTATTACATACTTGCAGTAGTGGTTCAATACTGCCGAGAGTGCAAATATGGGAAAAAAATCAAATTAAAAAATTTTTTGCAAATCTGTCTCAAATAAAATCCCAATGACCACCTGAGTATCCCCCTAAAGTTTCACTGTCCTATGCCTTACCGTTCCGGAGATATCGAATTTCAAAAGAGTAGGTTTTTTAATGGACACCCTGTATTTGGGGAAAATTCTGGAAATTGCTGTAATTTCGAGCAATCTGCGCGGGGCTCTGTTAGTGGTGCCCGTGAAGCAATAAAAAAAATCCCGTATTCTACATATGGTTCCAGTTTGAACGCAGCATACTACGTGGAGCGCACCTTCCAGTCCAAAAAGTTTCCAACTGCAATCTACGTACAATACACCTTCTCAGTGTCGGCGCACAGACGATGGACTTTTCTGAGATTCAGTGTAAGCGTAAGTGGCGACGAACTGACAAATCTCCCCGGATTCCATCATGGACGCTTCACATCCCTAGGTTGACGGTAGCAGGCGGGATACACTTTAGTGAGCGACGCCAGCGTCCCCTTTCGAGTATCACGGCAACTTTCGTCTCTTCGTCCATCCGAAAGATGGCGAGACGAGAGCGGATCCATGATATGCCGTGAAAGTTGCTACCCCTCCCTTTCGTGAGACCGATTTGAAAATTGCGTTTCGCAAGAGACACATCCTGAAAGGAAGAGTCCTGCTGAAGCCCCAAGCTCATATCTCGAAGCGTTTGGCCTGTAGAGCTATCCCACACAGCATTTAGGAACGCGCAAGCCATATTTTTTAAACCACCTGATCTCGGTTGCTTCGCAACCGGGTTCGAGTTAAGGAACTTCTCAATAGGCACGGTAGTGTCTATTACTTTTCTTCAACCCTTTCCCGCAGCCAAATTCAACTTCTTCGCATTCTTTGTATTTATTTTCTCCCCCTCTCCTCTGAGTTCAAGGGGAAAATGCCGTTTGGTCTGGGGCAAGAATTCTCCTATTCATCCTATTTCCATTTCTCACCATTTTACATCCATTCTTCCTCATTCTTATTCCACTGCTCATTCATTGCTCATAATGATTATCTTTACACTATCAATATCTTGTACTTGGATATCGTTTTCGTAAGAGAGCGGAGGCATTATGACTATTTTCGTTTGAATTTGCGAAGTTCATTCCATGCTTTGCAGGAAAGAAAAAAGCTGCTTCTTGGCATTCCTGTATGTAACACTTTCTGCCTGAAATGGTTCAATAAAGACCATAAATCACTCAAATGCCGCGTGAACCTCCACTAAGTAAGCACTCTTCTTCATGCTAGCCTCAAACTACCAGCTGGGCGATGTCCCACTGGGTACCACCTCCTTGTTCTCCTTTCGCCTGATGATTCAGGAGTGCCACACTTAAACTAAATCTTCCCGTTGAGGGCTCAACCGTCCCATAGGTTGGCGGAGTGACACAGCGGAGTCGCATTAGATCGGGAGAGATTGTGGCATGTGCAATCTGTCCTTACGATATCAAACAAATATGCAGACCATAGTAATCAGTAAAGGGTAGTAAGAAGCAGGAAAAAAGCTGAACAAAACGATCAGGATATGTAGGCATGCCCCCCAACTCAATGATTATGTCATGATAACAGGTACAATTCTAGAATAATATGTATATGATGCAATGTGAATGTCAAATGTACCAGAACTTTAACATTTAGAAAAATCGATAAGTACCATTCACGCTCGATGTCAACATATGCTGCCTTTTTCTCAATTTTTCTAAAATACTAATAATTAAAAAATATTGTGTTACTAGGGTGAGGACATGTCAAAATTTCACGTCATAATCTCGGCTCATCAACTATGATACAACGAAGTTTTAACCATTCTGGCCGGTTTAACATTGCACGTACGCGCGATGCTTTCTATGCATGAAGCGGTTAGAAAATTATATCCTGGCTTGAATGGTTAATATATGGAACTCGGAAACGTTTCCTGTCAAAGTTCCTTGGGTTTATTGACATTTTCATTGAGGTCATCAAGAAGAAGCCAGATCAACTGGATGATGAAACTAGTCATATATCGCCAGAGAGAACTGAATGCATCGTCATGCCATATACATATCACTTATCAGTACGGCTGGATAACCGAATCATCTGCAAATAGTGATAACGACCTTCGACAAACGTTCATAATGAGTAATGGAAATGTTTTACACCTCAATGCTCCCTTATCTTGAGTTCCCATGCAACTGCCACAAAATGAATTTTTTTTTTTCTGACGGGAAACTTCTGTCGGTCACATGAGCCGGGGCTACTCGATTCAGCCATTCGTGAGTCAATTCCATCTTTGCTGTGATATACTCTACATCCTTTCAGCTGTTTTTTTTTTTAAATGTAACAAGAGGGTCTATGAGAGCGGTCATTCAGTCACATTTCACGTTTTCTTTCAACACGTGAATCCAAAAGTGGGCAAATTTAGGGCAAAATTACAAGGACCGCTTCCAACGTACGATCAGTTGGTAACGATTTCATTGCGTGACTTCCATCAAAATTAAATTCACCAGCCATGAGCCATGATGTTTGCTTTACTGTTTCATTTATCATCATTCAAATACTTTTTGCATTGGTTTCATTCCTTTATGTAGGATAGTATATGGGAGATTCTTCAAGAAAACTTCTTCCTGAAGTCCCTTATGAAACGTCAGTATTTATTCCATAATTTCAAGCCGAGTTTTGCATAGGTTTTAGTTGTGAATTACCCCTCCAACGTTTTCTCATATAAGTGATTCATGGAAGGAAGACGAAGCGATGTGTTTTGTCATTGGTCGGCGTCTTTCTCGCACTCTTCCTGCTTCGACCTGACTGCCTTCCGAGCATTCAAATTTCATGGCGAGTTGAAATTCACAAGCATCTTTCACAAGGTTCAAAACGGCAATGAGATAAATTGCTTTCATCCTTTTTCTTCTCAGGTCGCAGTCTGAGTCGGATGACGGCCTGGTCGAACCAGGTCTATTCACCTGTTCTATTATTGGTTGCAATTACTTTTTTTTAGTGTCACGGAATTAAAATGAAGAACTTTCCAGGGTGGGAGGACTTGAGGATCTTCTGCCTGGTTTTGACGCAACCGAAGCGGAAGATGTCTCATGCTATTCCCATCAAGAAAACCTGGGGAAGGAAATGCAACCAGCTACTCTTCGTCAGCACGAAAGAAGGTTTCCTAATCGATCACATTCAGTCTACCATAGACATTGGTTTTTAACTCCCATTCGTCCAAAAACTTCTGGGTGAACCAAAAAAGTGCACATGCATGTGTGTGAGGAAAGAAACACTAAAGGCAACTGAACTAAATGAAAAAAACTGGCCTTCAAGGGCAGCTTTTTAACGTACCAGAAATCTCATGTGCATGAACCATTTCAAGTTTCAAGTCGATTTTCTGATGAAATTATTAAATATCATCATGTGCAGCTTTCCTCCCTATGTTTCCAATCATTCGCAGTCACCATATTATGCCATTCATCTTCTCTTCTGACTGCAGGATTTCTCATGCCTGATGGCTTTCCATATCCATGCATCCATCCATCCATACTACATTTGAATACACTAAGACGATTCATGGTAGGTGCAGCCTCTGGCCTGCACACTTTTGTTCCCTTTCAAGTACATAGGCTGGGTAGCCCCTAGGCCTACATGCCTTTTCTTTTCCGGATCATAGGCTTGGTAGCTGATAAGCCTACGAGCCTTTTCCTTTCCATGTTATGGGCAAGGCGCGTTTCGTGATTCCTCCATGCGACTGATTTTGCTTTCAAGCCTGTGCCTTTGCAGGACCTAAGTTGGTTGGGTGTGCTAAACAGCTTAACAATATGTGATGTGATGCGCCCGCATAAGAGAAGCGGCGAGGCTGCGTAGGTCTGCACTGACCAATGAGTAAATTGAAGATGTCAATGATGAGAGGACAGGTGCATTAATTGCAGAGCAACATCGGGCTGTTAACGCTGCGTGGTGAGCAGCGCGTGTACGCGGCGAATCTTTAACCCTACTCGAGTTGCGTTGGTTAGGGCGTTCAACGTCATTCCAGCCGTTTCACATAATCGCAAGCCTATGCATGTTGAAAACTTTGTTGGCACTGACTGGCAATTCATTTCGAAGCTGAGGAAGGTAAAAATCGGCTAGGTTGTTGTCATGATCATGTTACAGTGTTCCATTCGAACCCATTGGAGTTTCCACTGATGGGGAAGATGAAAACGCCCGCAATTTTCGTGAGTTTCATGTACAACAGCACAAACGCGTCCGCTTCCTTTCTGTGCAACAATTGTTCACATTATCGATAATGTTCCTTAC